AACCATCTCATCCTCTGTCGTCCCCTTCTCCTCCTGCCCCCAGTCTTTCCCAGCATCAGGGTCTTTTCCAATGGGTCAGTTCTTCACATCAGGTGGCCAAAGTACTGGAGTTTCAGCTTCAGTATCAGTCTTTCCAGTGAATATTCAGGACTGATTTCCTTTAGGATGGACTGGTTGGATCTCCTTGCAGTCCAAGGGACTCTCAAGGGTCTTCTCCAACACCACAGTTCAGAAGTATCAATTATTCGGTGCTCAGCTTTCTGTATACATCATACTTTACTGTGCTTTATATGTATGATGATGTATATGATATACTGTGCTTTATATGGATGATGCTTTATACATCATACAGCATCCATCCATCATACTTTGAGATTCTCCCCTTTTGCATCGCTCAGGTTCTGAAGCTCCAAGTCCAAGCTCGGAACCCAGCAAACGACATCCATGACCCAGCCTATCCCAAGGAGCTTAAGCCACCTGGGACGGAGGAGTCCGTGATCATGATGAGGGAATCTGACTCTAGGGAGGGATGGTGGGGGCTGGAGCTGTGGGTGGGCTGCCTTGGGGTTCTCAAGAACAGAGACAGAGATTGGAGTCAGAGGCACAAGCCCAGGTGGAGACTATAGGAAAGCCAGTCTGGGGACTTTGGCTGGGGACAGGTGAGAAATCAAAGGGCCTGGCATCTATGATGGAAGCCATTGTTGGACCTGCAGAAGCTTCCAGACCCTGCATCCCTCAAGCGGGTACAGTGCTATACCCACCACCCACCCCACCCCACCCCCACTTCCATGATAACAACTGGGTAACATGTATCATTTGTAATTTGTCACTGATGTGATGGAGCCAAGCCGACCTCCCCCTCCCCGCCAGGTCACAGGTCACTGCCCACCTCCGCCTGTCCTGTGCCTTGCCCACTCTCCCCTTGAACACAGCCTTTTTCTCCAGCCACAAGCTTGTGCGTGTGCTGGGGCCCTGCTGAAGCGCTGGGCCCAGACTGGTCCTTCACACTTGGCTCCTGGGCCCGCCGGAGACAGCCGGGGCTTCGGGCCAGGAGAGTACAGGCTTGGGGACCAGGCAGCTGCACCCTGGGGTTCCTCGAGGCTGGCGCCCTCGTCTGCACCCACAGTAGAGTGGGTTTGGACTCGGAGAGCCAGGTGTCCACTCATTCTTGCAGACCTCGGCCAAGGGCTGTCACTCCCTTTGTCTCCACCTCTGCAGAATGAGATGAACCCAGCTGTTCTTCGGGACCTTTGTGAGTTCCAGCCTTCGGGTGACAAGACTTGGTTACCTGGACCCCTGAGGTTTCGCCATCACTACTAGGAGAGCAGCCGCACACACACTCAGGGTTGGTCCCCGCTGAGGTCCAGTCCGGACCATAGGGTGGCTCTGAACCGGCCAACAGTGAACTCACCCTTTCTCAGCCCATGTCCCTTGCCCATGCTGACTTCCACCATCTCACTGGAGGTCACGTGTCCAGGAGACCAGAGGCCACTGTCCTGGTTGATGACACCCCAGAAGCACAAACTCCATCTCACTGGGAGGCTTTGCACATCAGCAAAGGGCAAGCAAGTGACCGCAGAGGCTTGGACAGATCCCAGAAAAGAGCTTCACTCGACTGGACGGCAAATAGACAGACTTCGGTCTGGGGCCTAGACCCAACTCTTGGCAGACGCCTCACCCCTGCAGGGGTCAGGGCCAGTTTCTGAACACAGGTGGTGACCTCACCTGCTTACACATTCAGGGTCTAACCTGCTGCCTGGTATCTGGTGACAGGAGCCTCCGCCAGCTACTCCCTTCCTGTCCTCTGAACGTCCCCAGCTGATTTCTCCCCAGAGGCCATGGGAAACCCTTGTCTGCCCCCGTGGGATTAGGTCCATCCAGGTGTGGGCACCACAGACAGGCTTCCTATCCTGGGCTCTGCGACTGGTCAGTATGACCTGGTGGAGGGGAGGGGGGTGTTGCTTCAGTCCGCCTACTGTAATGTGGGCACAAGAATAATTATTTCTCTAAACATCTCCAAGATTAGAAAATGTGAAACAGGATCTGAAAGAGCATCAGCACCAAATAAATGGAAGCTATGAACAAAGATACACACATCCCCCACCGCTCCTGGTATTTACCAAGGCTGCAAAGAGGAACTGGGGCAATGCTCAGAGGCGTATTTAGGAGCACTAACATGTCCCTGAAGTTACAAGGTGCTGCTCTGGCCCCGTGTAGGAGGCTGTCTATGTTGTTGTGTTACCCAAGCTTTGTCATCAACACAGAAGTTAGGAGGGGTGGGGGCGGGAGGGAGAGACTTCCAGGAGCCGGGGGCTGGGAGAGGGATGTCCTTTGTGACAGTATCTCCTATTCTGGCTGTGATGGGTTTTTCATGGCGAACAGAAGCCTGCTCAAGGTAAACAGGAACCCACAGTCCCCTGGGGGCTGCGTGTATGGAAACCGCGCATGACTACTCCCATGAGAAAATTCCTGAGCATCCTACTTTTTCCTGGGGAAGGGGAGGCAAGGGGCTGGCTGAGAGCATTTGTTCAAAGGTGATAGCTTTGAATACATTACATGCATGGAAAACAAGCTTTCTCTCCCTAAAATCTTGGGAGCCCCAAGAACATCATTTCTGTATGTCTGTGGGTGTACATACGGCTCTGCTGACCCCTAGGCAGCTTCCTTTGCCCTAATTCAGAACAGTTTTTACCAGGTCTCTCTAACTGCCTGGTTTAACCAGGTTTACAGCAGACAATCACGGGTGTGTCTGGGGAGAGAAGCTGGCACCCCTCTATTCCGACTCTTCCATTCTTGATCTGCGATATGTCAGGTGACATCTCCGAGCTGGATGCCCTCAGGAGGACAGGAGCCCAGTTATGGGCCCTCTAGCTCCATAAACAATACCGTTGCCTGCTCAGCCTGTGAGATATCCAGGATGTAATGTACACGGATCACTTCGTAAACTCTGAAACGTAATACAGAAACTGCCCATCGCTATATAGCATGCGCAATAAAAGTTGGGCTTGTTCGTGTGTGTTGGTGCGAAGGTGTTGAGGGTGTCTGCTGGGTGGAGCAAAGTTCGCCACAGGTATGCAGCCAGTCAACAAGGGTGAGCTTAAGACATCCGTATAAGGGGCCACGTCCGCCGAGTCTCCAGCGTCTGCGTTTCATGCGGGAATTTGCTTGGAGCTGCTTCCCGCCCCAGTAGGTTCTTCTGGGCGCTCGCCGCCACAAATAGAACAGTGGACGGAGTCGCGGGAGGGCAAGGAGCAGGGCCGACATAGCACACATTTCGTTCCCAAAGGAGGGGCGTCCCGATGCGCTGGCACCTGGGGCTTCGTGCCTTCTGCGTGGGGAGCTCCAGCGTCACCGCGCAAACAAAGCCTCTTTGCAGCTCGCGCTCTTGCTGCTCGCCATTGGCTCCCGGGCCGCGACCTCCCCACCCCACCCCCCCACGCTGGCAGAAGCCCAGCTCCTCGGCTGAGCACAGAGTCAGCCCCTCACCCCCGATTCACATTCACTAGGGGAGGGCAGGCTCATCGGACAGCTAGGGGCCGGCCAGGGGCGGTGGGGGGCGGCTGGTCAGACTCGACAGCGCCTCCGGGCGCCTGGGCCCGGTGCCCTTCACTCGTCTCCGTCCCCCGCCCGCCGCCCCGGGCAACTCTGCCACCTGTTGACGCGCCCTCCCAGCCAGCGTTCCTGTTCCCCCACCCTCTGCAATCCGGGGTCCCCGGGACAAGGTCCTTCCCCGCCCGCCCTTGGCCCTGCGCTCTCCCCAGACTCGAGGGCACCCCGCGCCTCGGTCCCGGGTCTAGACCAAGCTCCTCGCGCGGGCCGGACAGAGCTGGGCTCCGGGAGGGAAGGCGGGGCCTCGCCAGCGTGGCCCGGGCCGCGGGCGGGAACACTCACCCGGCCCGCAGCCTCGCGCCCGCCCCTCCTAGGCTTCGGCCCTCCCCCAGTAAGCGGGGCCGGACGCGCGCCCAGGTCCAGCCACACGCGGCGTGCTCTCACGGGCGTTGCGCCCACCCGGGTGACCTTGAACCTCCGCGCACCCCCGCCCCGGCCTCAGTTTCCCCACTGGCGCCGCTGCCGTGGGACAGGAGGTGGGCAGCCCCCGCCGAGAGCGGCCCCACCCCCGCCCCCGCGGGCAGCCAATCGGGCCCCGCCGTCCGGGGGCTGTGTCCCCGCGCGGGGTGGGGCCGGGGGCGGGGCTTNCAGACTGACCCTCGTGCGCCCGGCGGCTAAGCTCTGATGGGAGAGACACGCGCGGGTTAGTTCAGCTTTGAGGAATTGCCCTCACTTTGCACCTAAGGGCCACCGGGAGACCCGGACGGGCCGAGCCGGGCGAGCCCAGGGCAGTCTCCGCCGCGGGACGGCCCTCCCAGCCCAGGGCCCGCGGGTCTGGCGCTGGGCGCCCGCGCCCGGGTGTCCCCGGGTTCCCGGCTGCGCGCGGCTGTCCTGGCGGAAGTCCGGAGGGCTGGTTCTGCCCCTACGCGCTCCGCAGTCTAACCGGGAACAACGGCACACCCGTGCTGTCCTGCCTTTTTGAAGTTTAAAGGCTGGTGGCTGCGCCGCAAACGTCAAAGTTCTTTCTAAGAAAAGTCCGGGCTTGTATACTGCCTTGGATTTCGCGGAGCGCCCTGGGCAGTTCGCGGCCGCCTGCCCACCCCTAGCCCCCGCCGCCCCTCCCCAAACCCGGGAGTCCCCTCCTACCCCGGGCTGTTTGGGAAGGGGTGCGTGGGGCAGGGAGGCGGGGCTGGGCTTTTCTGGGACGACCCTGCCACACCATAGTGGTTGAAGACGCAGGGTCACGGTGACTTTCCTCTTTCAAGGTGGTGGAGAGTTGGGGAGAACCTTTACCGTCTTGCCGCCAAGGCCGCAGGAGGAGGGCCCTGCCTCTTCTGGGAAGTAACAGTCTATAGCCGGAGCAGCCCAGGGCCAAGACGTTGTCATCACAGGTAAATAGGAGGTTTGATTTACTCATTTTTTTCCAGACTGAAATATTGAAGTCTTTACTTCCATTGCCCTACAGACTAGCAATTTGAGGGTTAATTATTACCTTGCAATGCCACAGTTATGTCTATGTTCATGTCTTTGAAAGTAAGATAAATGTGGATAAGGTTCCCTTTTAAGTTCTTAAAAGTTGACTGTGTCAGTGTCCTTTAGGAAATTCCTTTCTTTACGGCAGGCTGGTTCCACGTAATTTAAAACTAGATAATATGACTGTGAGAAATGTTTTCACTTAACAGACACTTAAGATACAGACGCTGACAAGTCAGGAGTCATGCCACCTCTTAGCTGTTTTAATTCCAATTTGAATATCAAGCAGATGCTTGCCGAGCGGGTAGGCCAGGCCTAGAACTGCCACCAGCCAGGACAGTGATGCCCTGGAGGAGATGGTTCAGGTTGAGTGGTTCACTGGTCACTGAGGGAGCAGGTGGGGAGCTTGACAAACTTCTACACAACTTGAAAGTGACAGCAAGTTAACTGACCACAGAAAGCAACGTTTTCCCTCTTCTCACACCTTGGATGTGTGTAAGTTATTTCATAATCATAAAGTAATTCTTGTTACTAGCTCTTCTTTGTCCAACTTGTACCCAGATTTTTAAACATAGTGTGTGTGGGGGGGAGAGAGGATGAGAGAGGGGAGAAAAAAATGTGTTTCTTCTATAAAAACTATTTTATGAGCTTCTTTATTAAGCATTGGGTTATGGAAAATCTTTTCATGTGAATAAATGTGTGTCTATATCATATATTTCATCATGCTTAGAATAGTTATTAAGCCGATTCTTTAATAGATGTACATTTTAAAATTCATATATTCTATAAATATTTACTGAGTTTTTAGCTGCCCTGGGATATTGTGTTTAGTATTGGGGAAGGCAACTGTGAATCTGCTCATGAAGCTGATTTTTATACCAGAATATAAAAAATGAGCTGAAAGAAGATGAAATTGGGGTGGAGAAAGGGAATCTATTTTTGCCATACACCTTGTGGTTAAATGATTGTTAACCAGTACTTTTTTTTGGATGTGTTGTCTGTGAGCATCTGTTTTTATAAGGATTAAGTAATCGTCTTTAAAAACTTCTATTAAAACATTTCTTTGCTTACGGTAAACAGATTTTAAACATGCCACATTTCCTCTTTCTGTCTGTGTGTGAATGAATGTATCCTTAACGGCAGAATGTCTTAAGTTCCAAGTGACCGGCGTTTGGGGTGAATGTTTGTACTAATTTTGTTCCACTGCAGTTAGAGGATGTGGCTTTTTGGGAATTTGAAGGCCTCTGTTTTTATTTCTGGTTTTGGTGGCTTGGTGTAGGCTTCATAGACACTTCAAGTAATGCCATAGTTTCTGTTTGTAGGATAGACATGTGCTGTGTCTGTTACTTCTGCCTTAGTAATTACATAGAACAGGCTAGCTCACTTCTAAGGCCATGTGGTTGGGGAAAATTAGGCAAAGAATTTTAATTTCCAACTTGGTGTGAAGATAGTTTTAAGGTTAGGAACCAAACAGGGAAAGCCCTTGATGTCCCAGCGGGCCAGATTTCACAGAACCTGTTTTTTCTTCCCAGTATTTCTGTCACTTACATGCAGTGACCTGTCCAGTGGGGAACAGACCTCACCCAGTCTGGGTGACTTGTTGTTTGGAGTGGTGTTCGTTCTTTGCTTCTAGAACACTTAACTGGCATCTTCTCTTAGCAGTATTGGGGAAGGATTTATGCACTTCAAAAGATGGAGAGTTTACTGCTTACTAAGTCAGACCTGGTACACAGTTATTTTGGTCGCTGAGCTGCCTTTGTTTCCTGGTCGCGTCAGAGAGGCAATCTGACAGAGTGGAGGAGGTGCTAGGTCATCACGAAGTTTGACTTGTGTGCCTTTAGGGACACCCGCTGGGCCAGGGGATCTCTGTCCCCCTCTCTAGACGCTGACTTTTCATCACAAAATGGGGCGTCGCTCCGCTCCACCTCTTTGAAGGGTTGGGAGGTTCAGAAGTGGTAGCAAAGACGTGCGGGTGAAGATTCTTTGTGTCATGTAAGAAGCCACTCTCTCCCAGCCAGGGTCTAAAGAAGCACGCCCGTACCACCTACCCGGATCTGGTACCTGTGTTATTTTGGCTCTGACCACTAGATGATTTTTCAAAAGCTTTTGGAAAGAAGCACGTCCCCCACCCTGCATATACACTTTTATTAAAACAGTTTTTTCTTTACTTGTTCTTTTTTAAAATTTTTGTTTATTTATGTATTTGTCCCTGGCTGAGCTGGGTCTTAGCTGCTTTGAAGGCTTTTCTCTAGATGCAGAGCGTGGAGGCTTCTCCTTCCGCTGGCTTCTCTTGTGCAGCACACTCTTAGGTGCATTGGCCTCAGTAGTTACGGCACGTGGGCTCAGCAGTTGCCCAACCAGGCATCAAACCTGGGCCCCCTGCACTGGGAGCGTGGGGGTCTTAACCACTGGACCACCAGGGAAGTCCATATGCTCAGGTTTTGATGGTGATGTATTTAGCATTTGTCCTTACTCTGGTATCCCCAGGCCCTGAAAACAGTTGTTCCTCTTCCTTGGAGGGTCTCCAGAAATGCAGGCTGAATGAAGTCTTCTTCCACTGAGTCTAACTCGATGAGAACAGACAATGTGTCAGTCAGTTTTGCCTGGCTCACCCTGTATCCTGAGTAGGACCTCGACATCCACAGATTCTGTATCCCCAGATTCAACCAACCATGGATTGAAAATACTTGAGGGGAAAAAAATTCCAGAAAGTTCCAAAAACCAAGACTTGAATTTGCCACCTGCCAATAGCTATTTACATAGCACTTACATTGTATCCGCAACTGTTTGTATGGCATGCATGTGGTATTAGGCGTTGCAAGTAATCTTGAGGTGATTTAAAGTCTATGAAGGATGCGTGGGTTGTATGCAAATGCTTCACCGTGTTATTTAAGGGACTTGAGCACGGTTGGCAGGTGTTGGTGGCCCTGGGGGGCCTGGGACCATCCTTGAGGATGCTGATGGAGGACTGTGCCTGTTCCCTGGACCACTAGGACATGGACAGAATTGAATTCAGCAAGTATTTGTTGATTTCTTTTACAGTGCTCAGGAGTGGGTGGGAGCTAGTGGCGGGGGGGCTCAGAAGTCCAGCAGGGGCCTCCCCACCCCTGCCGGAGGATTTCCCCTTGGCATTTGGCAACTTCCCTCACACCCAGATGGCCAGAAGCCCTCCTTGCACCTGCACTAGACGGGCGTGCTCCTGCCCGCCTGCTGGACCCCCGCTCGTGGCTCCCACAGCATAGGTGTTATAAAGGTGGCAGCTGCCATTCACATTACTCTGTTTATATTATCACTAGATCTGGGGTATGCGTGCTAAGTTGCTTCAGCCGTGTCCGACTCTTTGCGACTCTGTGGTCTGCAGCTCTCCGGGCTCATCTGTCCTTGGGGTGCTCAAGGCAAGAATACTGGAGTGAATTGCCATTTCCTCCTCCAGAGGATCTTCCTGACCCAGGGACTGAATCCCCGTCTCTTATGTCCCCTGCATTGGCAGAAGACTTCTTTACCACTAGTGCCACCTGGGAGGCCCAGATTTGGGATACATTAAGCATGAAATAGAGTTTCTACGGGGTGCCCTGAGCAGCTCACTAAAGAAAATGCTCTTTCTTTCTGCAAGATCTTGCGTTCTAATTCTAAACAACGGACTCAGAAGGAAAGAGTTGTGTTCTAAATCTTCGTGAGTTGGGATATGTGCTGTTATTTAACAGAGCAAGGATCCTGTTGGCTGTCCAGCTGTGAAGATAAGATACACACAGGAGGAGTTAGAGAAAGCGTTGCAGGGGTTTGTCTTCTGTGTTCAGATGCCACACTCATTGCTTGGCTTTTAATTTTTAAAAAATGTTTATCTCAGTAGAGTTCATTTACAGTGTTGTGTTAATTTCTGCTGTACACAGAGCGACTCAGTTTTATATATATATGTTTTTTTTTCATATTCTTTTCCATCATGTTTTATCACAGGAGATTGAATATAGTTCCCATCTGACTGCTTTTACTTTGCTTTATTTAAAGAGATTTGTGGAGCTTCCCAGGTGGCACAGTGGTTAAGAATCCATCTGCCAATGCAGGAGACACAAGAGACGGGGGTTTGGTCCCCGGGTGGGGAAGATCCCCTGGAGGAGGCAATGCCAACCCACCCCAGTGTTCTTGCCTGGAGAAGTCCACGGGCAGCGGAGGCTGGCAGCGTATAGTCCGTGGGGCCACAAAGAGTCGGCCACGACCGAGCACACACACACATACACAAAGCGATTTGCAAATAAAAAAGAGTGGTGAGTCCTCTTCTGATCTACTGTCTTTTATACTTTTAATTCAGAGACCACAAGTAAACTTTGAAAAAGGATCCCCTTGAAACAGGAAGAGTTTGGAAAGCAAAGACAGAATGAGTTGTCTCAAAGGTTATGAAGCTTCACAGGAAAGGTTGGAAATGATAATACAGTTAAGTAAATAGTATACTGGAGTTCCTCCCTCCCCCCCCACCCCCAATTTTGAAAAGCGAGTAAGGCACCAAGTCCCCTGAGGCCATTTGCAACTGCGTGCATCTGTGGTCGTGTGATAACCACACTGAGGTGACAGGTTGCCAAGTTCTAGTAACACAGACCAAGTCATTTAGAGGCTGACACGTGGCCATGGCCCTTTCTGAAATGTTCTAAGAAATTGTTAGCCTGATGTGTATTTAAGTACATATTTACAGTGAAGCAATGTGGCTAATAAAACAGAGGAGTCAAGTGACAATCAGATCTTGATGATCTGAAATCAAGTTTTCTTCTATTACCTGTATGTTAAGTGGGATTTTTTTTAATCAAAAAAATTTTCAGAAGCATTTTCAGGCAGTGCTCCTCCTTGGACAAGTTGACATCTATTAGGCTGCCAGCATGAAGAACGTATGTCCCCTCTGTCAAGGATTGTGAATCAATTTGATAAATTCTAACTGGTAATCTCATTTTGGTTCATTTTATGGGACAGTTTGATAAGTGGGTTATTGTCTATTCTCTATCCACTCACTTTATTTCTGATTTTCTATCTGTGTATTAGGGATGGGATTAACAAGAGTGACATATAAAAAGAAAATGGCTCACAGCAATTTGAAATTTGGTTTAAATAGAGGCATCTCTTGGTGTACTGAAGTTATTTATAGTCCAAACAAAAAGGCAGTATTGGATGCGTTAACAATATCCTTGGACTTTAGGACTTGTGGGGGGTATATCTTGCCTGAATATTATGATCACCTTTTCTTCCCCACCTTGAAACCTGTTGCAGAATCTATCCCCACCTCTAGGCAAGGGGACTCCAGCCCCATCTCTGCAGGGTCCCCGTGACCGTTAACAGCAATCGATCCAGAGCACAAGCAGGTTCAGGAAAGAGCCTCTTTCTTTCTCTGCTTTCCTTCAAATTCTCACTTTTCGAGAGCCGTTTATAGGAAGAAAGGCATTCCAGTGCAGTGCTTCTCAAGCCATAAAAGTAAAGCTCATCCACCACCTTCAGGCAGAGGTCCCGACAGAGAG